TGAGAATATTTTGGAGAGCGATTGCCTGAAGATTGTTTCATTTTTCCTGGGTCTTCAGAGGAAACAAAGTCGGTGAGCCTTTCTACAACAGCAATTGCCCCGATCACATCGGTAACATTCCTTCGATGTAGTTCTTGTTGAGCCCATGGCTTCAAACCATCGAGGAAGCTGAATAGCTTATCCTTCTCGGACATGTCCTGTATGTCCAGCATTAGCGTAAAAAATTGCTTCATGTAGTCTCGAATGGAAGTACTCTAGCGGAGCTGTCTTAACTTCCTTCTTGTGACGAACTCTGTGTTCTCCGATAGGAATTGAGTTCTCAACTCCCGCTTCAAGTCCCCCCATGTGTCAACTCGACACCGACCCTGTTGGATCTCCTCCCAACGAGTTCGCCACCAAAGTTTTGCATCTCCATTCAGATACATTGTTGCTATAGAAACTTTGGTTTCTTCAGAATTAGGCCTTGTAGCTCGAAAGTATTGTTCTATATTGAATAGAAAATTCTAGAGCTCTTTGGCATCTTTGGCCCCTCCATAACCATGAGGCTCGGGTGCCCTCAAGTTTTGTGACGGTGCAACACGGGTGCTGCTTCCTCTCGCATTTAGTGCTCTTGTGAGCATGGTCACCCTTGAAGTGAGTTTCGCCATAACTTCCTGCAAGTGTTGCACGAAGTCTTTGGTGTTATTTGACAATCGGTCGACTAGGGCCTCAACCTTGTCGATCCTGGACTCTGCTTCTTCTTGCGAGCTTTTTATCCCAACAAGCCTTCATTGGCCATGGTAGAGTTCCTCCAAGCTCGCTTCAAGAACATCCAAGCGGGTTTCCGCCGTTGTGAGTCTCGCATTATGACTCTTTTTCTCGATTGGCACTCCAGATTACGCCTCCTCCACTCGTGGAGAGCAGCTAACTTCTCGCTCATCGTGTTCGCTGCAGCACTCCTCCTAAGCGGCTCCAACAGCATGAGAGCGAGTGTGCACTAGCAGCCCACCTGCGGTTGCTTGGGGCAAGGGTCCAACTTGCCCCGTCTTGCTTGATTCGCCACGATGCTTTGCCATGGCGAAGTTGTGAAGTTCCTTCACTGATCGCTCGAAGTGCTTGCCCGCTCTGATATCACAATGTCATGGACTTAGCTGGAATTGCCTAAGTCGTGAGGTACCCTTGCGGCAAAGACGCGAACATAGCTTGCGTTGCCTAAGTCGCGAGGCACTCTTGCGGCAAAGATGCAAACTTAGCTTGGGTTACCTAAGTCACGCTTCGCCCTTGCAATTTGCATCTGTAAAGATTAGCCCACTTGCAACCTCTTGCAGGTCCTGAAGGACCTATAAAAGAGAAAGTTGATTAGTTTGAAGAACGAGCGACGGACAAGTCCCGACATCTCGCGAAAATGGGAAGCTTTACAAGCAATTTAGTGAGCACCTTGCATGCACAAGAGAAAAGAGAGAGAGGAGGAAAATAAGGACTTTAGAGGGTTGAACGAACAGCTGCAAGTCTACAAACAGCTGCTCATCGGGTGTCGGGTACGACAACAAGTTCCCGTCAAGGTAATATGCGAACTTTGCGAAAGATTGTTCAACGCCCGATACTACACCAAAGCCACGTCCCTCATGGTGCCACCCAAGTGGTTTCAGGATGCTGGAGATAGCTGACATTTTGCGTGCAGAAGTGAGCTGCAAAAAATAGCTTATGGCATGTGAGCAGCTCATGTTCGAACTTATATTTTTATAAGCAAAAGGACTTAAAACCAAGCCAAAATATGTTGCCAAGCAGCTGTATATATAGATTAGAGTGACGAATGGTTCGTTAAACGTTGCAGTTATTGACATTAGAGGAGGGCAAATGCCTCTTGAAATGTGCTACTTTTGTTGCTTCTTTTGCCGGATGAAGCTTGTCTTTCGCCGTTCGGTTGGTCGGATTCATACGATATGTTCATAGGAATTAATTAAAGCTTCGCTATGAAATGATATGGGTTCATAGGGATGCAAATTGCTTCATCATCTTTGTACTACTTGCGTGTAATAACATCATCTGTGAGAGTGATTGTGAAGCTTCCTTCTCCACTAGTCTTCGACTGTCACGATAATAGGGATGTGAGCCGTTCTACAGTTGGATATGGCCATCAAACGTGCCCGAGACGCTGCAGTAATCAAAAGGGTGGGAGGCGACGTCAGCTTGAGAGAGTTGGCATCGGACTTCGCCCTATCTTCTTCCAATCACCGGTGACCCCTCGCAGGTTATGGGCCACAACAACGCTTATCTACTTCCCCTCATGCCTTACCCACTTCCGG